CACACAGTTTTAACCTAAATTCAAAAGAAACAGCACCTGCTGGCAAGTAGTGTTCTTTGAGATGTGTATAACTGATTCATGTTAACAAAAAGCAAAAACACAACCAACTCAACTCATGCCTACTGTCCTGAAGTTGAAACCCGGAACACAGAACTATTCTAGTTACAGCTTTAATAACAAGCACACCCACCAGTATCATCAGGAGATTTCTCTTGACCAGGCTCTTCCTATCTTGAGGGAAGAATCCTACCTGATAGGGAATTCCACAACGGTGTCAAGTTTATCCCTCCAGTATCTGCTGTATGAGAAGCGTTTCAAATGCACTACCAAAATCCTGGGCAGAGACCACAAATCAAACTTCTTTGTGGCCTGTTGATGTTTCTTACAGTTAGGGCAGTACCTGTGGGAAGCAGTAACAAACAAGGCAGTGAATGACTACATTAAATGAAAAGCTTCTGGCCTCCCATTAAGAAACGCCTCAACAGCACAGTAGTCTTTTGCAAATAAAAGAATGGTTTAAAGGTCCCACTGCTAACTATTATCTCCTGACTCAGCTCAGAGGCAACAGCTGCAAATACATCTATAGCATGCAAATGGAAATTAATAATAAACTATCACCTACTACAAGTTATTTTCTTACACAGTTAGCAAGCAACATCCAAAGATCTCCTGCACACACAGTAATCACAATTTGGTCACTTAGCATCTGCAGGTCAGGACTGGTTCGAGCTAGAAATAAATAATAGGGGATTAAACCTTAAGGTAGCCACATGTTTGACCCTTTATTACCACAACTGCTTCTTCTGACACTGTCTGGAATCAGATGTATGCTGGGGAATTAAAAACTGCCTGATCTTTGGAAGCTACATGCCCACTGCCAGTTTGGGTTTTTTTAATGAAGGCAGGAAACAAATGTTTTTTATTAACCCATATCTGCAGCCTATCGAGCCAGTGACTTAAGAGAACTGACAGACTTCTCACAAGTGAAGACAAAAGGACAGACCTGGGGAATTAATGGATTCCCATGGCAAATAATGTGGCATTTTACAATAAACCTGGCAGGTAGACAGAAGCTCTTACCATGGGTCATGTTCACCAAGTGTTTCCATTGTAGTGAAGAGCTCTATGCAGTCTCTGAGGGCTACCACAGCTTTCTTCTTCTGCGGCTGTAACATACTTCCATGTTTTTCAAATGCCTAGTGAAAGAGATGCATGTTTTATTCAATCCCACGTAGTCTTTAATCCTTGACATCACAGAAAGGAACATGGTCACCTTCACTGTGCTGCCTAATTTCTGAGTGTGTGTCATCCACTCCCCCAAATCATCTCAAACTGTCAAATACTAGCTCTTGTGGTACAAACAGTCCATAAGAGGAATACAGTGTGTCCTTACTTCAAAGTTGGTGGATTTGGGGTTTGGTTTGGGTGGGTTTTTTTCCTTTTTGCAAAACAGTAGCAACAAGTTATTGTTACAAGCACGATCCACAGAACTCTTGCAGAAAGAACACTGAGCTTTCTATTAGGCTCTACGAACTTGGCTTCAAGTTTCTTTTGAGTTTTGGGGGTTTGGCTGGTGTGGTTTGTTCAGTGCAGTATGAACTAGACTACTCAGCTTTGAAATTAAAACGTCTTCTTTTCAGAACACACTGGAAACAGATCATCAGTTACAGAGCTATACATCTTGACTTTAAGTAAACATATTTCACGCTGGTGACTCCGATTTTTATTAAGGAAGCTACACCTACATGTCATCATTTACTGTCATCTTTTAAGTACCATGCACATTTACATACAGATTATTTATGAATAGAGCATACTACAACCTGTGCCTCCTGTTCATCAAAAAGTAGCCTCCGTGTATCAGAATCCCAGTCAATAGCAAGTGCAGAAAAAGCTACAAGAAAAAGACAACAAAACCCCAAAAGATTTATTGCAAAGGCATAAGGAGAAGGGGAAAAAAATACAGTAAGACAATAATTACCATTTAATTTTAAGATTTTTCCTTCTACAATGGAGTTTATCTCAGAGGTCCCAGAGGAATTCACAAGGCTAAAAGTGAAATGCTGCTTCTTGCAAGGCTGCAGGTCTCTTGCTGACTCGACCTGCATACAACCCTCAGAGTGGCAGGGATCAACTTCTGCCAGCTTGTCCTTGCCTTCCTCTCCGCCATCCTGATGCTCCATCTCTTCAATGTCACCTAGCAAAATTTTAAAACAAGCACAGTATTCAAGAGCTTCAGTGAAAGTTTAGACTGACACCTCACAACACCTCATCTGAACTGCTGTTCACATGAGCCTGTTACAACACAGACTGATTACGCAAAGAAATGAGAAGACACACAGAAAAAGAAATCGGTGCTTGTCAACCACATGTGAAACTGGTTTTTTTTTTTCCTTTAGCAGATGTCAGGTAACATGCTGGACTTTACATCCTAGTATCAGACATGATGGAGGGTGCTCAGTTCACACCCTGATAAACATCCCAAGAGAGAATCAGCAAGACCGCAGTCGGATGTCTTTACAGAAGGGAATGTGTAAATCCCCAGCAAAGCTATTTCCATTTTTTGGGAAAAATGGGCAGATTCTTTTCCCCCCATTTAAAATTTCACATTTAACTTGTTCCAGTTGTTACTCACAGTAGCACAAGTGAATCATTTCAAAGAGGAAAATGAAACATGCATTTGCAATCAGCATTAAAAGCCTCCTTTTAAGCATCTAACCTAGGAATGAGACCTCTTGTTTCTCAGGCCCTGAACAAAAAACAGCATTTCCACTTTATTTCTCTAGAACTTATCTTTGCGACTTAACAGGCCAGTTGTCATCACGCCAAAGGGCATTATTAGGAAAGGAGTTGCCTCTGGGGGGAGGCACCTGAACACCTAATAGGAAAGCAAGGACTTCCCTCATGTTGGTCAAGATGAATGCACACCACACCTTGTTCTCCTGCTGCTGCTTACGCACATCTGATCTCACTTGGAAGGAAAATGGTCTACAGGAATTCTCATCATACCATGCAGTCATCCTGTGCAATAGTGTGGTTTAATCACTGTGAAAGAACAATCTGCCAGGGCTTAAGTCAAATACACACAGTACAACCCAAATGCTCATAAAAAGCTGTAAGTGCTGAAAAGCTTCCAGCCAATGTTGAAAGATCTTTACCTTCAACCACACCATTTGAGCCATTGCAGGTTCCTTTGTCTGTGCAGGGGGTAGAGTATTCTTCTGCCAAAGGGAGGTTCACATAGCGGCTGAATAAAGAGGGAATATGTTTATCACACAATCATACTAAAGCTGTTCATCAGAACAACAGCACCCCTTCTCCATCATCAGCCTGTGCTGCTCAATCCCCCTCAGCAAACCAGAACGCAACCTATACAGCACCGTTTACAGACCAAGAGTCAGAATGAGTCCAAAAAGAATAATTCAGTAAGTTGCTGTCCTCAACTGTTAGTTCCGAATTCTACTGGCAGTAGATGGAAAAGGCAAAAATAAGTTATGGTGACCCCATCCGAGAGCCCTGAAAACGTGGTCTGAGTTCTGCTCTTGGAACACGAAGCAGATAGCTTCTCAGCATTATCCTCCAGCCTGCTTTTACAGAGCCCCAGACACAGGACCTTGAAATGTCCCTGGGGCCTCCAGACACTAACGCAATGCAAATCCTGGTTATATGCAACACAAATCAAGGAAAATTCTTCCTCTTACCAAGGATGCAGTAATCCTGTTACAGTGTAATTGAACAAGCGACCACCAGAACTTTGCATAGGATTCAAAGGTACAGACATGACTTACCTGATCTGCTCCAAAACCACACTGTACAGGTGATCCACAGTGAGCTTATGTTTTGGCACAGATATTAGCAGTGGCTGACCAAAGAGCACAGTCCCTGAAGTATTGCTGGATTGCCTCATTGTCTTCTCCCGAAAGTAAACAGAGAGAGTAACATACTCTGAGCTGTCCTCACTTGGCTTGCAAACTTCATACCTGTTTGAAAGACAGGTATTTCCACAGGTTATTTCCACTGCCAAGAAGCACAGCAGGTAGAACCAATATGAACTCAGTCTACCAAGTCTCTCCACTAGGTCCTCCTGAGGACAAAAAGGGTTACACTCTGTCTTCATGCTACAGAGAAGTTTCCTGAATATTTCCCACAGCTCAGAATGGCATATAACACAAACCTGCTGCCAACTCAACTGCCATCTTCCCTCTCTCTCTATCCCTAATTCACACCACTGTTGCCACTCACCTCTCAAGACACTACCCTGACAACTACATGTTGCTTCAACCACATCCCAGAGTGAGTGAAGAATACTAAATGCGCTTTGAAGTCCCTCAGACAGTGTTTGTTCCATCTGGAGAAAGAAACCCTCTTGACACCTTGGGTCTTGCATTCTCCCATTCTCTCATACAGTTAATGGCCCGAGCCCACATCACTGAGCAACCAACACTTCAGAAAAATGCAAGGACCATGAACACACACACACACACACACACACACACACACACACACAAAAAAAACAAACCATGATTCCGGAAGAAAACAAACAGCTCTGGAGAACAGTAAGGAGACTGAGACAGCCTGTGCTACTGGGCAAAATGGTAAATGGGATATTTGCAGATGTCAGGGTCGAAAGAAACCACGTGGTCCAACACTATCAAAGTGTTCACTTCAGGGCTACTCATCACAAAAGATTCATTTTCAGGAATGC